TGTAGAGGTCTGTACCTTTATTAGCAGGTGTTTGATCCTTGACGATCAACTGAAAAATATCAAAATCCAAACTGCTTTTAAATGTCTCACAGGTATATTTGTAAGTACAAGTACCTACTCATTTTTATTCTTTCTTTATTAAGCAAGTGATGCTGTCTGGAAAAGACATAAGGTCCTGTCCTGTCTTTGCCACCGCAAAACTGCGAAAGAAACATTTTGTGGGGTTTTTTGTGGGGAAAAAAAAAAAAAAAATAATCAATAGTACGTCTGTGCTTCCTAAATGGGATCACAATTCATCTTTTTCATACTGGACCTATGTTTATTCTCTGACACCACAATGATCTCTAATGTAATAGCTTACTCTGAAGGATAACAAAGGAAACAGACTCCTAAGAAACAGTCTCTTCTTCCTGAAAAAATACTAAAGAACGAGAAATTATAAAATATTGGGGAATACCACAGATTCTTAGGGCAGAGGGAAACATTAGTATTACCACTACACTTAAACACAAAAAAAAAAAAAAAAAAAAAAAGACTTGCATTAGTTCTACTGCAGACGATAAAGGAATTTCACTATCTATCAGATAACCAAATTATTCTCAAGACTAAAAAGTTATTTACTCATTCTTCAGCAACTGTGACCAAAAGGTACATCTGTACTGTAAACATGCATAAGTCCTTTGTCAGTGGCAACTATTTTCTTGCTAGACGACGTACTCATACTCTACCATCTTCTATGCTTGGCACGTAATTAGGTAAGACAAAGCATAGTCAATGCTATTTTAGTTTTCTCTAAACTATAGAATACTGGCATTGGATAACAGGGAAAGTCTAGGAGAGGACAATGGGAAGGGAATGTACCTGTGGACCACCTAGCTGGAAGCCCTGCACATCCCTGTAGCAGCAAGTGCTTGGTGAAGGTCACATAAACTTCCAGGTGGGTGCCACAAACAATAATCAGTGACAGTCCAGAAAAGTAATTCTAGCTCCAAACATGAAAATTGGCTCCAAACTGGCAACCTCATTGCTTATTTTTCCTGTGGCCCACCATCCATTTGATCTTCACATGAACACGGGCATTTTTCTGGATCTGCCAGATATCAACAGCCAGTCTCAGGTACTATATGAATGGTCACACTCTATCAATGTGAGATGAAAGAGCCTTTTCACCAGAGGGTGGGAAGGACTACTTTGATCTCCGAAACATAAGGTTTGCGGGGAAAACACAGCAACAGGTATGCCTATTTTCCAATTAAGAGTAATTCTGAAATCACCTTGTGGAAATATTTCTGTATGGATCCACAAGGTCACCTTCACCCAACAGAATGTCACGCAAGGAGGACATCCACTTTACTCTGGCTTAGCTATTTCCCTATTTTCCTGTTGGAAGCAAGTGCAATCTAGTTTTTCCAAGAACCAAGCTCAAGTTCTTGTTCACAAACTTGAACATAGGAAGTTCCATCTTAACATGAGGAGGAACTTCTTTCCTTTGAGGGTGGCAGAGCACTGCCACAGGCTGCCCAGAGAGGTTGTGGGGTCTCCCACTCTGGAGACATTCAAAACCTGCCTGGATGCCGTCCTGTGCAACCTGCTGTAGGTGACCCTGCTCTGGCGGAGGGGTTGGATTAGATGATCTCCAGAGGTCCCTTCCAACCCTGACCATTCTGTGATTCTGTGATTCTGTTTGGAGCTGAATCCACAACACTGAACTAATACAAAAGAAAATATTAAGTCAGTTCTCAGGCTAGATATAGATTCCCGTCAGTGCAAGGTTCCTGGGTCTACTGCTTCCTGGCTGGTAGACTGCAACCTCAGAACACCCCCATGTGTTACACAGTACACTGTCCTAGTGTCCTCCAGCACAACAAGTACATGGGAAACTGAACCAGAAGGCCTGCAGAAGGGATGCACCCATCACAGCTGGCCTAGATGAAAGAGGAGGATGCAAGGATATTATTAAAAGGACAGAATCTGAATGGATTTCTCCACATAACTGGAGAATATCTTGCTTCTAAAGAAAGCCTAAAAGGTAGCTGCCTTAACACTTACCATGACCAGGCAAAACATAAGTATATGCTGCCATTTGTCATAGGATAAACAAGCAGGAATTCACTGTGGTAAGAGGATTAAAGTCCAGCTCTAACATTAGGTTCTCATGATCAGCAATTTGTCAAAAGGTAGTAAGTCTTTGGCAATGATTTCTGTGGCCTGAATTGCAGCGAGAAGTGATTTTTGGGCATTCATTCTCTGACACGTGCACATGAATCGACTGGAGGACCCAGTTTCTTGTTGGTCCCTTTAGCAGTCAGCTGTCCCAGGTATAAAAATCGATACAATTGTCTCAGGTGAGCAACTATCCAGCCAATGCACTGGCAAACACTATTTTAGCAGCAGAGAGTGCGAAGGGAAAGTTTATTTTATGCAGTGGTGTCCATGTACTGCTAACTTCACCCTTTTAAATTTGAATGTGTGGATAAAGACGTTGAGTCTTCTTACGCCATATCTGTAACCTGCCTAGGTTGCTTGCTCTAAACCCTTTATCTCTGAGATAAAAGGGAATGAGTTCTGTGGTTCCCAGGGTTAATGAAGAGTCGATTTCCTTCAAGACAGATTTATACAGGGTGAGTCTCCAAAAATACTCATAATGGGAGGTGGAGGAAAGGAGTGGGACTGCTAAAGAACAGAAAGGCAAACTAGATCAAGTAACTTGTGGTAAGTGTCTAAAACCCAGAATGATCCCTTGCCAAATTCAATGGAAGAGAGCTAACATGTTTCCGAAAGTGAGAGATGGAGAGGCAGATGAAAGCAACTGAATGGGATATTTGCACTCTTTGAGAACGTTTTCAAGACTGCTGACAAGGAGACAATGAGGGGGCAAGAGCTGGCAATGACACCTGTAGTCTATGCCAGTGATGACAGTATCACCCCTTGTGTTCTTGTTGTTGCTGTTGTGTTCTGGGTATGGAACACAAGAAAAGCAGCCACTGTACCAAGCCACACAGCTGGATCTGCAACTACTTCTAAGTAGCCATAAAAAATTCAAAGCAGATTAAGAACAGTTCTGGAATCCTTAAATGTAGATAACTGCTGAGTGTCCCTGAACTAAACCAAAGGAGATGTCAGAAATTGCCAAACAGGATAGCATCAATCTGCACCCAAGTCTTCCTTGGAATCTACGGGATGGGATTCTGCAGAGGAGACCAGGTATCAGTGAGTTTGTCTTCATAGCTAGAGCAGCTGGTGACTCACCAAAGAGCTGAAATGAACGCATTTAACCAACCAAAATTATTTAGGTACTTCTAAACCTACAGTGTGAGAGCATGACTGCTCAGATTTCTCTTCACTGCTGAAAGAATCAAAGACGGAAACAGATGGATGAAGAGAAAGTTAGTGACTCCTAAGAATGCTGACGTTTCCTTTATAGTTGGAGAAAAAGAGTGTATCACATGATCTTGCTATGATCCAAAATGGTTCCATCAACTCTACATACCATATTAACTTATAACCAACTATTAGCAGTTTCAATTTCCTCCCCAAGTGCAAATTGGACAAGATTTCAAATTTGCTTTAAGAGATACAGAAAGACTCTCAAACCCATAAACCTGACCACCCTAAAATCTCCATTTCCAGCCAGCAGTATCCAGAAGGTAACGTGCACCAGTTTCCTTGACATCCCTTAATTGTAAGGTTCAGAATAAAAAATGAAAGGCAATCTAAACTTGCTTGTTGAAATAGGCTCCAGGGCTTGTTGCTGCTACTCAGGATTCAATACTCCTGAAAATAACAGGATAAAAAGCTATGCTGAATCAGTGCCTCCTCAGCTCCTCCCTTTAAACTAAGGTTTTAAATGGTCTTCTTCAAAGACAATATGTAATACAGATATTCTGGTGGTACTGAGTTGCTGCAGGAGGTGGGGGATCCCTTGAAGAATGCTTCTTCAAACAAATGGTAGAAATAAAGGGCATTGGAAAGCCCTTTAGGTTGACTAGAAAGTTGTCTCAGTGTCAGGTGTGTTCTAGGTTAATTAGCAATCTTGAATGCTGACAAGAAGGGAAATAAGGGCTAATTCAGCATCCACAGAATCCTTAGCATTAAGTAAAAAAATAATGCTGTCTTTCATGTCAATACTGGAGGTGCGTTTGGCAATCCCTGTGGAGAGGCAGAATGACATTTCCGAGCACCACAATCAGTACTGTTGACTGAAGCCAGACAGGACAAAACCACAATTTTGAGAGTGCTTCCCTTGCTTTTTTTCAGTAGCAGAGCTGTCAGTACTAATACTGGAGCAGATCACTTGGGGGACTTGAGCTTCCACAATAGATTCTCAAGTGGCCAAACCAGAGCCATGAAGGGAACCAAAACACCATCCTCATGTCCATCTTTTTATCAGTCCTGAAGAAGCGTGATGTTTGGCACTCCGAGTGCTAGCTAATGGTAAAGATGGGGTGGTATACTCTGGGATGCCACTTCTGCTTACATACTAGGAAACAGCTAAGCTTTGGTGCTCACCTCAACTAGTTCTGAGGTTGATACACTCAACCGTTTTTAGCAGAAATATCTAAAATTTCAACTCCCTCTCCCTGCAACCTGGGGAGTTCGGATAAAACCCAGCAAACTCAGTACCTTCCTATTCCCCCTCGCCTCCACTGAGGCTATATAAACACTAGTTATACAGCTCAGTTAAGCAGGATCATATGTTCCAAGTGACAGACAGATGGAAGATTATTTTTGAAGAAATCATTGGAAGATAAAAACTTTAACAGAGGAAGGCAAACACAAGAAGGAAAATGCATGTTAGAGGCCTTTTTAAACACTAAGCAGCACAGCATCAATATACATACAATCACCACAAAGAATAGTAGCACATACAATCCTGAATAACAACTGCATAGTATTAATCGGGCAGACTGTCAGTTCTTTACTACAACAAAGTTTTCAGCATACAATAAAATTAAATAGAAAATAAACACCTTGTTACAAGAATATATCCTAAATCATACCTCGGGTGCCAGGTATTCTGGAGTACCACAGAATGTTTTCATAGTCGCTGCGTCTGTGATTCCTTCTTTGCAAAGTCCAAAATCTGTAATTTTTATGTGTCCATCTTTATCCAACATGAGATTTTCTAACTGCATGTTCGAGAAAAAAAAAAAATGTTCCCTTAGTATTTCTTAACAGGACAGGCTGACGCTTTACAACAATTTTGTAAAAAAGATACAGTTATTGCTTGCAATAGAATGTAATTAGTTTGCCATTTAAAAAAAATACAGCATCTATTATATTACAGCATTTAACAATGTTTACTGTTATACAATTTCAATAATTTTTTAATACTTTAACACAATTTACAATAGTAAATCCCAGGTCAATCAAAGCATGACCTTTCATTCTGAAGTTTTACAAGTTTGGTGCATCTGCCATAGAGAGAAAGAAAAATAATTTTCTAAATATTCTCAAGATGTAATCAAGTAATCCAAGGTTACAATCATGGCTGCCACTTGGTAAGACTTCACAGGTTTCCTTTGCTGTTCCATGACCTTCATTTATCAAGATGCATTTTACTCACTATAGTGTCATGAAAGAGTATATATTAATAAATCCTTAAAATATCTGCATCTTCCAGAACCTTTTTAATAACAGACAAAAGAGAGGCTACTGACAAAAACAAAACCCTGAGGTAAATTCCTCCTTGTATACTTGCAAAGGACGCTGTTCTTGAATTGCGTATGTGTACCTCTGCATGCTTTGCATTGCATTTTAAATACATGATTCTTGCTTTGAAATATGAAAACTGAACACAGCTTGTTATGAAGTATTTAAAGAACAGGAATGAGAACTACTGCCGTATTTACTGTGGACTATCTGAAAAGCACGGCTAACATCACTTTCCGAAAAGCTTCTTATTAGCAACACTTTAAATACAGATAGAACTAAAAACGAGTGAAACATACTTCTCAACAACTTCTCTCAACAGAAAAGGGTGGGTTTTTTTCAAATTATAAGGTGTGTAGTGAAAATACCAACAAAGAACAACCACGGCCCTGTCATCCTAAGTCTGCAAAAAGCCTGAAATACAATTCAAAGGTATATATTTCCTGTTGAGTCTAACAGTGTCATACAAAGAAGATGCAAAGCAGATGACACCAGCAATACAAGATTAATGGCATCAAATTTCTCCTTCCTTATTATTTAGAGTTTAAATTGAAAATCATGACCTACCATTCCCTGCCTAGAAAATTCCATAGTTTTCCAAGACGTCACAGCATTTCATGTTATTACAACAGATTCTGCTACAAACAGGTAACCCAGTATTTTGTTTCTGTCTGCCTCCCTGAGCAGAACTTGCCTACCACTGCCTCCCTCTCCTCAGCTCCTGCACAAAGGAGTCCACGTATAAGCTCCACCAGCGCACATTAAAGCACAATTTCCCATACCAGAAATTAAAGGCTTGTGACAGAAATAAAATAGTCTCTTCCTGGAATTTAGAGGTTCTTCCCACATAAGTTAGAAAATGTTCCCATTGAAAGAAGAGGTTATTTTCCATAGAACATGGTCATACTGTGTCATAGAGTACCTGGAGCTTCAGGCAACAGAGGATACGCAACTGCATACGCAGGCAAATCTAAGACAAACTACATTCCAGTATTATGAATCTTTCCCAAGATACAAAAGACAAAATAATTTTTAAATTAAGGCTGAAATTCTTTTCCTATTGAAGTATTCTGAACTGTTTTAAATGCTTTCAAATCATACAAGAACATAACTCTTTGGTGAGATAAACAGAATGCAGTCACATTGCCCCAATTCCCCGTTTCCCTTGTTTGAGGACATTGAGAATTATATTTGAGATTTGTGTTGAAATCCAAGTTAAGTTCTAAGTAACACGGAAAAAAAAGGATCAGAAGTTTAAATCTCCTTCAAGTGGTATCACCAAGGTATGCTGATTCTTTTTTTAATCAAGTTAGTCATGTAATGTACCCAGCTATAGATTACTATATCAAATGGCTTCCTTCAGCATATACAGAACTTTTAACTGAACACAGACTTTTTTTCCCCCATTAACTCTGAATAGTGCAACTTTATAATTACTTTGTGTTTGTCCCAATAGTCTCTGCAAAAACAAAAATTTGATTACTTTTTTTTTTTCTTTTTTTACCTTGAGATCACGGTACACAATCTTCCCAGAATGCAGATAGTCCAGGGCAGAGACAATTTCTGCACCATAGAAGCGTGTGCGGTCCTCTGAGAACACCCGCTCTCTCGACAAATGGAAAAACAGCTGCAGGGTAAACAGCAGGGACAGGATTGTAATAATTACTGATTTAGTGGGGGAAATTAACACAAACATAAAACACCTCTCATCACCATATTGTGATGATAGATAGTGTACTCTCAGTGGACACTCAGCACTCTTAGACAGCAGCTGGCTTATCTTTTCCAGGTTTCCAAAGGGAGAAAGCGAGCTGTTAAATCAGCGTTTTAATCAATATACCAATCTTGTTTAAGGCATTCTGCTTGCTACTCATTTAACCTTCAGTTACTGGGGGCGGGGAGGGGGGGATTATGCAGCAACATCATTCTCTACTTCTCCCTCCGCCACTTCCTCGGATTTTTATTTTAAGCCACTGAGAAATACCCAGATTCTGGATCCACCTTAAGTTTTTCAGTAATTTAGTAACTTCTCTTTGCACTGAAAAAAGTCTAGTTCTTCAGTAGACTTCAACTGAACAGGTGAATTGGCATTTTACAAAAACAGCACATTCACACTGCTAGCAATATTATGAGAAAAAGCAAAGCAGCAACTGCTTAGGGCATGTAAAAATGAATCTATGTACTTCGTGTATTTCTTTGCTACAAGAGAAACATATCTTTGGGGGTTTTGTCTCTTCTTTAATGCTTTATAAGTAACAGCACTTTGCAGACACTTTTTCAGCTGAAGTCTTTCAGTAAAAAATATTAGTCATTACATATGGCCAGTAACTTCAGCTGCTATGAAAAAGTGTAAGGTGGCGTTCTGTAAGGCTGTCAGCATCTCATTGGATAAAACATCACCCTCAGAACCTGGAAAAACACCTAAAAAACCAGAATTTGGCTGTGTAATGGAAATGCTTTCTGAAATGGTTAGTTTTATTTGCTGTGTTACAAAAGCTTGGGAAAGTCCTCAAACAAAGATTAGTGAGTATGTTTCGGTATTCTGCTTCAGACCAAAGGGTCTGCCTGCCTTACCCCTTCAAGTTACAATGTTTTTGCTTTTACCACAAGAGCTAAAAATCACCAAAACAGAAATACAGAACATGTGATCATTTATAAATTAAATACAGACAAGGAAATCCATAACAACAATGTGGTTTGTTTTTTTTTTTATTTTCACTGCTAAAAATATCAAGCAGGCGAGCATTCCGAAATGGCAAGGTAGGTTCCAAAAAAAAAAAAACAACCCAAAACCAACCAGCTGAAAAAATAGTAATGTGCTTAACCTGTCACTACCACATCCTACTTTACACCTGTAGGAAATCTAGACTGCTCCCACGGCACAGAACACTGTAAGAATTACTGCAGCTATTTTCAGTATGCGGACTTTTCAAAATGTAATCAAAAAAGTCAATCCTATAAATACCTAGAAGTCAACTTCTTTCCTGACAGTTGTACTTCAAAAAATGTTCATTATTTCTTCTGAACCTAAACAAACTTCCCACTAAACTGAACCTTTTGGCAGCATATATTTGTATAAGCAGAGACTTCACAGAAAACAGAAACTGCAGTATGATTTAAATGGATCTGCATTCCCCTTCCAATTTCTTTTTGAATTCTCAAGACACTCTCTACCAAAATGGAATACCGGCATGACACAGAGGACCATTATTTTGTAGGTATTTCAACTGCTCCTGCTGCTGTTTCCCTGTTTAAGAACCAGTCCCTGGTGGTGACATCAGCCCTCCCTGTAGTAACCTGCATCCTGTACTGAGAACTGCTTAATTGCCAACGTAAACAGAAGACCCATACAGACTAAGCAACTAAGTCTGCCTACATGAAGTGCCTCATATATTACAAAACCGGGAAAAGAATAAATATATTTCTCAATTTGTGGGGTCTTTTCCACATATTTTTGCAAGATTAAAACAGGAAACGAACACGGCTAACTAGATCTTCACCCAAATAAAACAAAATACAAAATCTGTGTAATTTATGCATTTATGTCTGCCTTGTGGTGTCTTTCATAACTAATGAGCTCATGTCACTAATTGTTAAAGAGTTTTCATTGTTTTGATGGACTCAAAGTAATTCAAAATTTAAGGCCAAGTTTTAGACCACTTTTTAATGTGTACAAATAGAAAACACATTCCAAAAATTTGTAATATAACCTCCAGTTAGCCCTACATTCAAATCTATGCAAAAGCACTGTTGCGATTTTCTGTATCAAAGAGACTAATCCAGTAGCTTAGATAATTCTAAAACCTCAGGATACTTGTCAGCAACAGATGTATTGGTTTCCGTAGAAAAGTCTTCCAGTTTGAATCTGAGAGTTGATAACCTCACAGATTAACGTAACAAAAACTTATTTTCTTTAGTATTTATTTCCAACAAAATATTCTTGATATTCTTTGAAATACTAACTTCAGAGTAAAATGACCACAAAGAAACAACTGACAACAGTTCTGTTTGCCAGAGTTCCCAAGTCAGTTTATTTTAATGTTATATATGACACTACAGTCACTCCTCATAAGCATTCTTCTCATTGTTACAGCACCAAGCAGAGTTGTCATCAAACCCTGCATGCTAGTTTTGAATGAAGAATGTACATTTAGACATAAAAATGCATGTTAAAAGTGAATTCATATACTCAGAGATACCATACAGATACTAAAGCAAACTTCAAAATTATAACAGAAAAATCTAATGCAGTGAGATTACAGCATTATTTTCAGCTGATTATGTAGCTGGTTCACTATTTTGGAATAATTATGCCACCAGGCTCTATTTACAGCTGTCAGAATATGAACATTAGACTGAGAGAAGGAAAAGAAGAAATCTGATGGAAGGTTATGAAAAAAGCTTTCAACATTTGCACTATTTATTGATTTACAGTTATTAAGTATGTGCTATAAAGTCATTGGAATTGCAATAGAAATAGCTTTGGCACAAAGAAAGCCATTTTGCACATAACATTTTTGATGGCATACATGAGAGTGCTATAGTTACAGTGAGGACTGAAGCTATAAATTTCCTGATATATCTTTATTTAAAACTGAACAACAATGTTGCCATGGGCTTTTTCCTAATAAAAAATTGCAATGGAAAAATTTAACAAACAAAACCAAAGATCAAACATAAAAGTAAATTCAACTGCAGATCCAAGCATGCCAAATAGATAAAAGACACAACCTTATATCAATCAATATGTTAAACTTCTACACACAATAGTGACCTATTCAGCATGTTGAAAGTTGTATGACTAGCTCTTGCTGTTGTGTATTGGGTTTGCTCAGCTCTTAAGTTAAACACATTTTATATTCGACTGTTGCTTTGACTCTTTTGCAAAGCCTTTGCACTAGCAGCCTTGAAATTTTGCATTACTTGTTTATTGTTTCAGACTTTATACCACTTCTAGGCACATTCTACACTCAAAGAAATATAGCAGCCTTATCTGGGACTACTGTCATTTTAGGCTAAGGAACATTCACTCATTTATTAGAGTTTAGGAAAACAATATGGGACACAATCAAGATAAAAATGGCAAAGCTTACAACAATATTCAGTTATTTTTCATTGTCTAGGTTGTAAATCCTCTGTCTTTTTTTCTAGACAGTAATAGCACTTGTTCAATTACAACAAAATATTTAAATCTCTCTTGCCTAATAAATTGAAGTAAGAACTGTGGAAAAAAATGCCAAGCAGAACAGAAATTCAGAATTCTGGTGTGGAGAAATGATGTGAACAAATTTTAGAGTCTAATTTTATTATACTGATAATTACCAATTAAGCTTGTTACAGAGTACGGAATTTGGAATCATCCTGCAAGTGCAAAGCAAGGAAGTTAATCAACTTATTAGTCAGCTGAATCAGTGTACTCGGCAGAGTAATATATGTAATAGATCTCATTCCTAAAGCTTTTCAACCTTTAAACTAAAATACTGGAAATAAGAAATGGGAAACATACAGTCCAAAAGTATTCCCCAACAACATAGAGCCAACAACAAGGCCAAGGGCAAGGTCCTACATCTGGGTCGGGGCAATCCCAAGCACAAATACAGGCTCCGTGGGGAATGGCTGAAGAGCAGCCCTGAGGAGAAGGACCTGGGTGTGCTGATTGACGAGAAGCTCAACATGAGCCAGCAACGTGTGATCACAGCCCAGAAGGCCATCCATATCCTGGGCTGCATCAAAAGAAGTGTGGCCAGCAGGTCAAAGGAGGTGATTCTGCCCCTCTGCTCCACTCTGGTGAGAGCCCACCCTCCAGACTCATCCAGCTCTGGAGTCCTCAACATAAGGACATGGACCTGCTGGAGTGTGTCCAGAGGAGAGCCACGAGGATGATCCGAGGGCTGAAGCACCTCTCCTATGAGGAGAGGCTGAGAGAGCTGGGGTTGTTCAGCCTGGAGAAGAGAAGGCTCCGGGGAGACCTTATTGCCGCCTTCCAGTACCTGAATGGGGCTACAGGAGAGCTGGGGAAGGACTTTTTACAAGGGCATGTAGTGATAGGACGAGGGGTAATGACTTCAAACTGGCTGAGGCTAGATTTAGAATAGATATTAGGAAGAAATTTTTCCACTCTGAGGGTGGTGAGACATTGGAACAAATTGCCCAGGGAAGTTGTGGAGGCCCCATCCCTGAAGTGTTCAAGGCCAGGCTGGATGGGGCTTTGAGCAACCTGGGCTAGTGGGAGGTGTCCCTGCCCATGGCAGGTGGGTTGGAACTAGATGATCTTTACAGTCCCTTCCAACCTAAACCATTCTATGATTTCAACTTGTGTTGTATTTTCAATATATGCAATTCTTTTTTCATTTGGTTAAAATAGCTCATTTTAAGCAATGGAGGAATGATACTAGATATTAAACATACTTAAGATCTCCATCTGAATAATTTGCTTGAAAAAATCCTCCAATGTTTTGCTTTAATATATTTAGCTACAGAATATGCTTTTTTTTATTTAAAGGAAGTCAAAAGAGAATTCAATACAGTAATATTTTGTACATTGTAAGAAAGCACACACATAAACCAGCAAAACTGATGCAGTTGCATTTTCATTATAACGTGTTCCCTTATTAACTGAGTCTAACTAATTTGAAGTTACATAGGCAAGGTAATGCAGAGACAAATTCCCACTATTCAGGTGGGATATTAAATTCAACATGGATCTAGATTTCTAACAGGTATAGAAAACTCTTGTTTTGATTCATTTTAACACAATTTCTTCTCCTCCAGAATGAAATTCAGTGACCCCTTCCTTGACTGTTTTCCTTCCTAACCACAGGAAGAAGAACTGAAGGCTCTTAGTACTGACTATGTTTTTTATTACTGTAGTAGGGCAGAAGCCTCAATTTTGGCATTTTCTTGCTTTCACCTGGGTGAGAGTCAAAAATACAAATTGCAAAAACTCCTTCACTCAGAGACTGTTTGGCTAGTGTGATCCTAAAAGACATAATCCATGAAAATTCCCAAGCAATTGACTCAGGCATAACTGTTTAACTAAAAAGAAATCTTTAATCTAAAGGAATTTTAAAGAGAAATACACTGAAGGTAGTACAGCTGTGGAGAGAATCTAAAGCAACATGGTACTGTTACAGTCAATTTCCCACTGGAAGGATATAATTAAAAGATGAGTCTTCAAGACCTTCAACAGTGAGAAACCATTGTAAGGAAATGAAACTTCCTTGGAACACAAAGAGAACAGTAGAGGAAAGCAGCAAAAGAAAAAAGTCTGTGTACCGTGCAGGAGATATGCTTACAAATGGCTAACATGCTGGCTAAACTTAGTGCAACTTAATTTTAGTAGTGCTGAGTTAATAACAAGGCTATTTTTACAAATATTTCTTAGCAGGCAGTGACTAAAGTCTGAAATTCACAGGAAAATTCAGTAAGATTCAAAATTTTCATCTTAAAAAGGACAGCTTGTCCAACTTACTATTCCAGATCTCTAGTCAAAGAGAAGTACATAAACAAATCAAGAGAGTTCCTTCAAAGAAAACTGCCTACTCTGAAAGGCCGTTATTTCCCACTGTGGCAAAAATTTACAGTTGGCTTCACTGAATTAGGGAACCATCAGAAAAGAACATGAGCAACATTGACAAACAAGAGCATCATAAGCGGAAAAAAGCGACCCACTTTTGGCAAAGTACACTGCAATCATTCAAATCCCAATAAGCAAAAGCAGGCTGCCACCAAGAAACCCACAACTCGAGTGTTTGCAGCAAAGATGTTGTCACAAAGGTGCACCACCCAATGCACAGGAATGCAAGATACAAGCCTGATCAAAACACAGTGTCAGAGTATCCTCAGCCCTAAGAAAGGAGTCAAAACCAAACATTCTCTGTTCTACATTCAAATAGGACAGAAAGGTATCTTCCAGAAAGATGAGTATCTAAATGATAGGCTGATGTTAAAAATGTATTTTCAAAGTGCATCCCCTGAGATTACAGAAATGCAATAAGGTCTTACACAGGTGAAACTAGGAAGAATTAGCTAGTTTACAAGGCACCATTTTAAAACTCATTGTAGATAGCACTGGCGCACTTGCTTAAAATTGGTGACATAAGTTCCATGTCAAATAAGCCAGCCGAGTGTCCAAGAGAAGGCCGTTATCCCAATACTGCCGAGGGAGATTTTTGTGTCTAGTTCAACTAGCCAAAATTGTTCAACACCTGTGATGTCCAGAACCGGGTTTATAGATACTGAGTTAAACAAGCCATCCTCCCTTATGAGAACCCTACAGTGCCATGTTTAGCCATGGCTGGTAGAGGACGGCCATGGACAAGTTAGGATGTAAACGGGCCTCAGACTGGGCCCAGAAATCACCAGAGGAATGGATACAAGACAGGCACTCTGGGGGCACTCAGGCATTAGGAGTATAGTTGAAGACAGTTTTATTGTAAGAGAACACAGCAAAAGGATAATGCAAAACACGGTATTACGCTACAACAATTCCTGAATGAAGAAACAGTTTTCTGATAGAAAAAGCTAGTGGAAACACATAGTCCTTTGACATTATTATGCAGCATATAGTAGACAAAATAAGGAAAAACCCCTAGTTCATTTTGTAAGGAGGTACAGTCTGAATAGCAAACAGCACCTAAAAGTTATCTAAAAGCCCTCTTCTTAGATTGCAATTCTCTTTAATTCCATTTGATGTGTATAGTTTTTGATACTCTGTTCTTCAGTAAACAGTTGGAGGACAGTAACGGCTTAAAGGCTAATAACACTGTAAGAAATTTAGCACTTAAGTTGAAACTTCCAGAGTACCCAGCAAGTGAAAGGGACAGAAGTAATAAAAAATATGAAAACTCTTTTCTCACAGGTATTTGCAAGGGTAATAGCAAAGAAGAGAGCACATATTTCACATTAGGACAAAAGCAAGACTAATCAACATTATTTTTGCTTGTTTGCACTAGATTATGACCATTTCATGCCAAAGCATGCTATAACATGCTTGAAGAAAAAATAATAAGCAAGCTATTTGTAACTATTTCTCTACCATGAAATTATTTTTCAAGATACAACAGTCTAATTTTTCAAGAATAGAAACATTTGACAGCATAGTTATAAAACATGTCTATATTTTTTTTTAAAAAAATCAAACAATTTCAAAATTTTCAAAAAAAAAAATCCTTCGAAGATACTAGAAAGCAAAAAAGGCAAGAAAAATTATATCCTTTAAAAAGTGTAATCCAGGAGAGCATTACCATTACAAGCCCAGAACATCTTTTTGAAACTTACCTCTCCTCCGTTAACATACTCCATCACAAAACACAAACGATCCTTTGTCTGGAAGGAATATTTCAAGGACTTGCAAAGAAAACAGCAAAACCAAAGCAATTATCATCTTGTATTAACCCAATTTCTTCAACTTAAACTGTAACAAAATTTAATTTTATCCTCTTACGCAGGCAATTCTGATTTGGTGAGAAATTTCAGAGTAATTAAAAGTATAACTTCCTATCTGGAGCTTGAGATGAACTAACACAAAAACCTTCATGTCTTCCCCCATCTCCGCCACATGGCCATTGATATGAAAACACTGTACTTATTATAACAAAATACTAAATATTTACTAGAATACTCAATTTTCTACTGCATTTCTTACTGCCACACACGGTACCAGCTATCCTCACTCATCATATTTTATGATGTCCACTTTCACAATGCCCACGAAGACAGAGGTTACCATATTCTTTTTAGTTTCTCCCAAATGAAATCTTAAAAGTGATCTTAACCTCCAGCCTGCTTCCATTTCCAAAGCAAGGATTCTCCAGTTTCACACACTATGCAATGTTAATAACACTGAGTGCCAATGAATATATTTATTTAAGTATCATTTTATAATTGTAAAAAACTTTATTATCTTAATTAAAATTTTTGACTTACAAATGTTGAATTGATTTTACTTGGAAAAATGATACCAAAGAAAATCTACAAATGCAGGCTTGGCCTTAAGGAAATGAAATGCAGTAGAACCTCATGTAACAAAATCCTAAGGAGACTCAAGTGACTTAAATAACACGTCTCCTTAAAATACTTGTAAGATACAACTGCAGTGACACTGTTGCACAATTTGATTGGAATTACACCTACTCCTGCTTACCTTTACACTCTAATTTAAGAAACTTTTGGTGATCTCATTTCTCTTGATTGAATTTCCAAGAATATGGCCAAGCAATGTAAATGCAATGCTCTGCTTTCTAAAGGGTTTGTTTATGATTTTCTAAATAGGAAAGCTTCCATGTTATACTTGGATATTTTAATACAAAAGAGAAACATTTTCCCTATGTTAAAATACAACATGTTAATTATCTTCTGAAATCAGTGAAAAGATTTTCTAATATATTCTCAAAGGAGAGGAATCAGATACTTCTACAGAACAAGGTCAGTTTTAAAATTAAAACTATTAATCATAATTTGTCACGAATATCAAAATTTTCATCTGTTTTTCAATATTATCCTTCTATTAAATATTAACCATATAAAGACAGAGATATGGAACTAGTGGGGTTTGAGTTTTGTTGCTCCATGGGCTACTTATGTTGACAAACAGTTATTTTTATCATTTTATTGAATTCTTAATTAAGTTTTCTTGGTAAAAATTACTTACTTGACACTATGTGAAATCAATACCTTTTATTAAAAAAGTGTTTATATACAAAAATTGCACAACAGTTAAATTCTACAATTAAATTTGTTTTCAGTGCAGTTAAGCTTTACAAAATCATTAGAAACTTTTATTTCCAAACTCTTAAATACATATTCTTATATAGTATACATAAGCACCAGATAGCTACTGATTATTTACAAATCATCATGAGAAAGACTTCAAAATGTGGTTTAAATTATGTTCATAATGGAATAGCCATCATGTTGAAAATTAGCAGGTAATGTACTTAAAACTAATTCCTTATACTTACTGTTAAAAAAGGGTGCCTGGTGTTTTTCAATACTCTGCTTTCCGTAAGCGTATGAGCCACTTCATCCTGAGAAATAAAGAGTAGAAAAAGTATGTCTGAATTAAGATATAAAATTCTTATTTAATTAATTATGAGGAAAAGGTCAGCACTTCCAAAAAGAGAAAGCTACAATACAGTTTTGGAAAATGAATGAACCTGAAAGAAACATGAAAAATAATTAATGTTTTTTGAGACAAGATTTTAAAGTAAATTTAAGTTTGGCAAAATACAATTTAACGTATTTTATTTGATTTCCTTTTTCTTATTTTCTTGCTTTAAAATGAAGTCTTTAACTTTATATCCAATGCAGGGAAGGAAGAAATGATAATATTGGATTTGATAGTTCAAAAATATAGTCATCACAACTTTGCAGTTCTGGCATGAATCATCTGAACAACATATCTACAGAGATTGAATCAATTTGCAAGAAACATACACAGGTAGTAACTGAGAGGAAGAGAGCAGTGGAAGAGGATAGTGGGAAGAGGGCTCGCCCTGCGCTACAATGGTGAGCAGCTCCTAAGGACTAGGGAGAAAAGTGGGGCATTTAAGAGGTTCACATTATGAATACGTGGCCATTTTACGCAATTCTGCATGTAATACATGCTGTGAATCCTCCCTCCCCAGCTGCCAGGGGCTGAGAGCCACTGGGCTGGTTTAGCCATTTTTTGTAGCGCTAAGCTACCACTGAGTATTACATTAAAGAGAATTGAAGACTAACTTAGTGTGACTCAAACTTCAACCATAATCCCGCAGAAGTAAACACACCTAGTCAGAGTATACTTTATTATTGCTACAAACAAAACCAATATAACATTATCATACTGCACATGCTTATCAGACTAAGCTCTGAAGATATTAAACTACAAAATAAACACAGATGTCAGGAGTTTTAAATTAGACTTTTTAAATTGTCAAAATAGGCAGTTAAACAACAACAACAGAGTTAGTGGTAATAAATTATGATGCCATTTAGCTGAATAGCAGTGCAACACTGAGTGTATACACTACAACCACATACTGGGGGAAAAAACCAAAAAACACTTCAAGGAGAAAAGCAAGCCTAAAGTTTTAATTATTTATTTATTTTTAAAGCTCGGTGGTTCACCAGATGTGGGGCATAAAAAGCTGGCAATGGACAGTTTTTCTAGCATTACCTCAGAATTTTGTAATACTGGTAGCATTGTATTCCCTGGTAAGTGCAATATTAATCTGTCATGAAAATTTAGGATCAACAGATCTAGGTTGAACTGGGCGTATGCTATACAGCCTTCTAGATACAGCTGTCAATGCACCACTTTTCTGTTTCATATTATCCCAACTGATACAGGTATGACCTTCTATAGCATATATCATATCACGTTATAGGCTGAGGTGGGACTGCAGAACTGTTCTACCTAGTGACTGTATCCTTAGCACTGACCTTGAGAGTTAAATGCGATTGATAAATCCCCATGACATACTTGCACGCTGACTGGGCTAGACAGCTAAGTGCAGGCTCAAGTCTGCTTTTGTTTTTAGTTTGGGGAGTAGTGGAAAAAATGGTATTTGGTGACTACAGGGAAGAAAACCATCATCACTTCACTTGTGAAGATCTAAGCATAGTCTATTTTTCATTATTTCATCAGTTTCTTAGCAATATACAACCATACTATGGAAAACTTCAAAACAAAATTCCAGCTCTGAGGAAGTCATATTTAAAAGACTGAGGTGCTCCCATTTTCATTATAGGATGAAAGGCATGTTTCCTCACATGCCTGATCTTCTTTTAGTCTACAAACAGGCAGAAAAACAGACCCTGGTCTGCTTCAGGGAGGTTCTGCTCAATCTATCACTGAGCTAGCCCTCTGTTTTCAGGTAAACAGATCAATGAACAGTTGCATCTCTATCTCTTCAAAATTTCTCTGGCTTTACACATGCTTCTATGAACAAGAATTTTCACTCAACAGAGAGAAACACAGTTATCTGAAATTCAGTTTTGACCCTTCTAAAAATTCAGTGATATTGTAGAAGCCAGCAAAGTATAAGGGAAAACCTTAAAATTCAAAAATGTGTTTTTTATTTTATCGATGTGAAGAAACAAGCTGAAATGCTCTGAAAGCTGGAAGGGTATAAAAAAGCAGCAGCAGAACAGGAACTCATAGCAGTTGGACATAAGACTCCTCTGAGGACCCCCTGGGTGCCACAGGTGAGCAGAGCACTGAGGAAGGATGTCAGGCTGGAGACTGGGCCACAGCATGCAGCAACCAGAGAGACTCTGAGACCCACGGTGCAACCCACAGACATTGCTGCCATTTATAATGTCTTACATGGAGGGCCACTGAGATGCTCCTTCCCACTCAGCATCAGGAGAACGCAGCAGCAATACCCTCTTTTCTTTCTGTATCTCCTGATTATGAAGAAGAAAAGCGCACTCTCTGTTGCTGTTAGTCCAAATCATGCCAACCAGCCTGCCAGTGCACACAAGACAGCTGCTAAGGGCACGCAGAACATACAGGTCAGTCTCTTCTCTGCTGAAGACAAATTTAAGTCTCTCCCCCTGCACCAGGGCTGGTTTTAACGAAACTCAAGGAAATGTAACTGGTTTTGAGGCTTCTAGTCCTCTACCAAATTTAATCGAAACTGGTCAACACATTCAAAAGTTATTAGAAAGTGAGTGACAGGCAGGCAAACAAACATACAGATAGACTGCAAAACTCTCTAAGCCCTGTTTTCATAGGCCACTAGGAAAATCGGAAAAATCTGAAGGATATTTTAAAATACAATATATGTAAACGACAGTAGTTCCCATCCACATTCAGTTTTCACAAATACTGGTATTGTTAGCCTCAAGCATTCAGAATTCTCAGTGAGATCCACGTCCCTCAAAAACCTCCTTACTTAATAATTGGGATTATTTTTAATTGCATCTCATGGTGCTAAGAGCATGTAGGTTTCTTGATCTCAACTTGTTCTGTGCAAGTGGGGTTCAGAACTTTAGAATTGCTAGAGACAAAGCTCAGAGTATATGATCTTTCAGTTTAAACTTAGTAAAATTATGACCAAGTAGCACTAAACTAACCAAGTTTAAGTGAATGGACAATGCCAGTTTAAACCACTTCTTCAGACATCAGCTTCAGACTTTTCTTGTTCCTCAAAAACTGAAAAAATGAAATTGTTAGTCCCATGCACAGCCATCTTATCTAACATATCAGGAACAGAGCACAGACCCATTAAATTAATTGCATTTATCTGAATAAACCTGCAGTTGACTTAGACAAATTTTTGAAGTATGTAATATACCCTGCAATGCCTTTTTCTTTTTTTAAACTTGGATTGCACTATCTTCCTACCCAGTGAACTCTCTCAATGCTTTAGCACACTCTAGATCATAAGATACTGGAAAAAGGTATGCAAAATGGGTACATGTACTTTTTTTGTACTCTTGTTTTCTGAAGATACACACACTTTCTGTCAAACCCAGTTACCATCAAAAATCAAATGCACCTTATGTATTAGATATTGATTACTCCATTAAAAAAAAAAAAAAACACCACCCAATATTAAAACTATAACTTTCCTTACCTTTGCAATAATGACTTCTTTTTTCAAAATCTTCATAGCATAGTATTTCCCACTAGCCTTCTCTCGGACCAGGATAACTTTGCCAAACGTGCCTTTGCCCAGTAGTTTTAAATAGTCAAAATCATTCATTGTCTATAAGAAGCAAAGAATAAGGATGAGCAAGACTTATGCTATCCAGTTCCAATATGCACACCAGTGTGTTCGCATATAACCAAATGCTGTTACCAATACAATAAGAACAGTCTACAAAAATAGGTACACTTCTATGATTAAGTTCATAATAGTTAACTGTATCCTTAAACCACTAGGATATATTGTTCGATACTATTGTTATAGTTCTCTAAAGTCCAGCACTGCACAGTATACTACACACACCCTTATTTTTACAAAGCACACACAGAACAAAGTTTTAGCCTATACCAGCATTTCATGAATGTTGCATATCTAAGAAAGCTCATCAACGCGTGTATTACCAGGGACACAAGACCATGGCATATCAGCAGGTTTTGTGTAACACCAACCCCTGCACTGATGTCTTTTTTGAAACATACATGATCCTCACTGCAATATTACACCAGTAAGACTCTACAGCAGTCTTTGTATTAGAGGTGGACTTTTACAATTTTGAATACAGATTACAATTACATATTTTTTACATTAATCAATCTTGGTCTGAAAAGGAAGAGGTAGCGAGTTTTCCTCTTTCATGTGACTCAATTATAGTGACTGTCCAAGCATCTACTATCACCCTAGGTTTGCAGGCTAAACGTAGTACATCCAAGAGCTCATTCCGCCAACAGACAACTTTAGTCCAGTAGGTTTATCAGCTGAACTGGAGTGTCACACACCATAAGAATATGACCAGATGATCTCAGATCCCAAAGCAGTTTAGCTACTTTAATGAGCACAAAGCTTGAGTCAATAATCATCTTAGTTCTGCAAGTTCGTTTCACAGCCAGTTCAGAGGCATCAGCCCTATGGTTTATGCATTAGATGCAAATATGAGGATGTAGAAAACACAGCACAATACTGAGAATGCAGCGACTGCACAGGGTCGCCTTGGATTGACAGTAGGGTTTCTTTGGCCAACTCAGACCAATCATTGGCTTCCACTGTGTGTTTCCACAGCACATCTTTCAGCACACTGTGTTACTGGCTTGGGTGCAGCACCACGTAACCACACACAGACTGTTAAGGCACCCAGGAACCTTGAGGAAGCAGTTAAAACCTCTGAAAGACAATACACTCACCTATTGCTATAGTACTGTCCTGCAATATCAGTAACCTTCCTTTCTTAGTGAATGATACCTCAAAACATTTATAAAGAGTAATTATACCCCGTCTCAGTTTTGCTAAATGCTGCCATGTGTGAGGAAAATAAAAGACTGTGGCTTATCTTTTGTCTTCCTAGTGTCTCTTTTTATCACTAGTCGCAGTCTCAGGGACTTCTCTTGAATACTGATACTTATGTCTTCCACAATGGAATAAGTACTTTCCTTATTCCTACCAGAAACACCTCTAACAGTGCTTACGTATCTCACACACATTCCAAGTGTAGAGCTATTGGGCATATCCCCTGGTGTGCAATCACAAATAGTGGCAGGGGTAAAATTTCCTTCTGAAATGATTTATTCCTTTAAGCTTAAGTGCATGATACTATTACTGTGGATCTGAAGTTGCAGTCAACAAACTGTGAAAATAATCTATGCAATTGCTCACTCAGACTCAGTTTGAAATCTGCTTACTTAAGGGGTAGAATTGAACTTCCATCAACTACATCAATACTGTAATTCCTTAGCTTTTAAGTGTTCAACCTGCAACTTAAAAGCTGCAAAAAGGTTTCCAACAGACTATTTCAGGTAACATCTGGATGGTTGGATTCTTTGCTCACACGTAAACATATTTAAACATTTGCACTGATAGATCTTGTTTTGCTGCCAAAACCACCGCACATCAGGAAGAACAAAGCTGCATTTAGCCCAGTAAGAAATACAAGTAACAGAGATTTCAAAGCCTCACTATACTTTTTACCTAAAAAAATCCACACAAGTGAGTTCAAAGTTAAAGTTTATGACAAAGCCTTAAATGGTCAACTTTTGCAAAAAATAGCATAATGTGTTATAACTACTGATGCGTGACATAGTATGTAAAGTTGTGATCCAAATACTACATGGCTACTAGTAATGAATCAACTAAAGGTAAGAATTCTCAAATATCACAGCCAGTACTTCGGAAAGTCAGATTATCTACTTTGATAGCTCTACAATAACCATCAAGCAAAACCAAACGCCTTTGTGCTAAAGCAGTGAAAATTGACAAAAACACATGAAAAAGTCTTCACCAGTGAGTGTGCTAGCCACACCGCCCAAGTCGCAGAAGGCAAAGGCAGAGACTGGAAGAATAAAAAACCACCCACCACAGGAGAAGACCGGGTCTCAGACCATCTAAAGAACCTGAAGGTACGCACATCCATGGGACCTGACGAGCTGCATCCATGGGTCCTGAGGGAACTGGCAGATGAAGTTGCCAAGCCACTATCCGTCATATCTGAGAAGTTGTGGCAGTCTGGTGAAGTTCCCACTGATGGGAAAAGGGGAAACATAACCTCCATTCTTAAAAAGGGAAAAAAGGAAGACCCAGGGAACTACAGGCCAGCCAGCCTCATCTCTGCCTGGCAATATCATGAAGCAGATCCTCCTGTTAACTACACTAAGGCACACAGAAAATAAGGAGGTGATTGGTGACGGCCAGCATGGTTTCACTAAGGATGAATCCTGCCTCACAAATTTGGTGGCCTTCAATGGGATTACAGCTTTGGTGGATGTGGGAACTGCAACAGACATCATGCACCTGGACTTATGCAAAGCATTTGACACTGTCCCGCAGTGTCATCCTGATCTCCTGATCTCTAAATTGGAGAGACATGGATTTGATGGATGGACCACTCGGTGGATAAGGAACTGGCTGGATGGTCGCACTCATAGCCTTGCAGTCAACGGCTCCACATCCAAGTAGAGACCAGCAATAAGTGGAGTCCCTTAGGGGTTGCTAGTTGGACCGGTGCTGTTTAACATTTTTATCGGCAATACGGTTGTTGGGATTGAGTGCACCCTCAGTAAGTTTTCTGACACCACCAAGCTGTGTGGAGTGCCCAACACGCTGCAGGGAAGAGATGCTATCCAGAGGAAATTGAACAGGCTTGAGAAATGGGCCTGTGCGAACCTCAGTAAGTTCAACAAGGCCAAGTGCAAGGTCCTGCACATGGGTCGGGGCAATCCCAAGTACAAACACAGGCTGGGCGGAGAATGGATCAAGAGCACCCTGAGAAAAAGGACTTGGGGGTGTTGGTGGATGAGAAGCTCAACATGAGGTGGCGATGTGCACTTGCAGCCCAGAAGGCCAACCCCATCCTGGGCTGCATCAAAAGAAACAGGACCAGCAGGTCGAGGGAGGCGATTCTGCCCCTCTACTCCACTCTGGTGAGACCCCACCTGGACTACTGTGTCCAGCTCTGGAGCCCTCAACATAAGAAGGACATGGACCTGTTGGAGCGAGTCCAGAGAAGGGCCACAAAGATGATCTGAGGGCTGGAGCACCTCTCCTATGAAAACAGGCTGAGACAGTTGGGGTTGTTCAGCCTGGAGAAGAGAAGGCTCCGAGGAGACCTTATAGCATCCTTCCAGTATCTAAAAGGGGCCTACAGAAAAGATTGGGAGGGACTCTTTATCCAGGAGTATAGTGATAGGACAAGGGGTAATGGATTTAAACTGGATGAGGATAGATTTAGATTAGATATAAGGAAGAAATTTTTCACTCTGAGGGTGGTGAGACATTGGAACAAATTGCCCAGGGAAGTTGTGGAGGCCCCATCCCTGAAGTGTTCAAGGCCAGGCTGGATGGGGCTTTGAGCAATCTGGTGTAGTGGGAGGTGTCCCTGCCCAGGCAGGTGGTTTGGAACTAGATGATCTTTAAGGTCCCTTCCAACCCAAACAATTCCATGATTCTATGAAAAATCAAAAATGCATTCAAAACAGAATTCAAGCAGGAGATAAGTAATTTAGGGCAGAATCCTTCAGCTATAAGCTATCACATTCCCTGACAAAGAATGGCCAACAGCTTTATTCATAAAGAATATTGAATTGTTGACCATAACAACTTATCACTTCTAGCAGTCAAAAATTTATGGGATCACAAGCAGCCTCAAAGGGGTAACTTTTTCCCATACTTCCAACCTTCTTTGAGAAGCTGGATTTAGAGAGGGACCACCAGAGTCTAAATAAAACCAGCTCAGAAAAGCAGCCCTTCACCCGCACACAGGAGGATGATCTTGGCATGACTGATCACAGACATGGGTTTGATGCGAAAGGTAGCAACCCAGTCAAATCGAAAGACTCATTTGCCCAAAATTTGCTTACATAATGTTCATCACAGCAGTCATGAATCTAGCTGCAAGCTCCCTGAAAACAAGTTAAAAAATATATGTATATTTATAAGAGGAAGGTAATAGCTTTGCAAGATTTTGAGCCGTGGCTTAACAGCAGGTTACGGTGGTAGTGGTAGTTCCAAGAATAAAGTCTCCTGATGCTCTCATTCTTTAGAAATTCAGCAGAAGGCTTAGAGATGATACGCAGTGCAGGGTGACTAAAAAAGTCTGCCAAAGAACACAAGACCTTGGGAGATAAAAACACAGATGCCATAGCTAAGGGTGTACTGAAAACTGGTGGAAAAATGGGAATCCTTCCTAAACCTGAGGGATGTTGGTAAGCAAGTTTGCAGGCTCCCATAAGATTGGATTCTTTCTCCTTGATGATTTTCCCATCTTCTTCATTCCTACCGAGCTCTGAGGATGAAGTCTTTTTACTCATTACATTTCTTTTTGGGTTCCTCTGAAAAATCTGTTCTTTACTCAGTCTGCATCCTGCAAAACAAACTTGTAAACAAAGTAAAAGCAGTGAAGCTACAGGAAACTGCACTAACCAAAGAACTGTATGATGCTCAGCCTCCTGTAAAGCCTATTTACTCCCCTATGGATGATCTGTTCAAGAGACTACACCCTACTACAGGTGTTGAAAATTCCTATCAAGGAACTAATTTTTAAAAATTCCTGATAATATCACTTGGAGTTTTCATCTGACTTCATCGGGAAGAAAGTCTACTTACAAGGAATAATACAGTAAGAAATAAAAGCAGTTTGCTAAGAATTTTGAGTGCTCCAAAATTTACTGATGCTATTAGCGTAAAACTTGAGTAGCACACTGATACCATTTGAAAAAAAAAAAAACCAAATGCTTTTGGTTCTTCTAGCTAATCTGGCCAGGGACACTGCTGTCGTGCATGTTCAAATCAAGTCCCACATCCTAAAGACTGTTTTCTTCTTAAACCGTTTGCTACCTTTTTAGAGAACAACAGGCCCACTCCTCTCTGTCTTGTTTCTTAATCTGATTATGCTCCTCTACTCATATGTATACCATCTGGTGCATGCACAAGCAAAATTCACTGGGCTTAGATGTAAAATCAGGTGACAAAACAAGCTTGTAGGACACATTGTGCAAAAAAAAAACTGAAATGAAAAGAAATGCAATACCCAAAAAAAGCAATAAAAATGCATTAAGTTGTTATAACTGAAATGGTTCTGATTATATTAACAACTACAAAAGCTTTAACAGAAGCTTTTCAGAAACATTTCTAAAAAACAGAAACAGTTCTAAAAAATATATTTATCCCAATTTCAATTAAGAACGAGGGAGTGACAACTCCCCATCATGATGGTCACTTAATATTTTTGGTTCCAAAAACTTCTGAGAACGTTTCGCTAAAGTCTTCCAACAGTAGAAATCTGTAGTGGGATTTTGAGTTTTGGTAAAAAAATACCCTTGCTGTCATCAGTATGTTCTTCACTGGCTACAAAAACTCCATTCCGCTCTATTATTAGGAGTCGAATATCACCATTTTTCATTTCACCTTTGTTTTGTAGAGTTTGCTTTTGGCTTGTTGACAAAGCTGTTAAATATTCTGCAGCACTGCACATGCACTGTCCCAGCACCTTATTTCAGCATTCCTTAAAGCATAAGCAGCAAGACAGAAACAAAACTGATCTTCCTCCTCCTCCTGTTCCCACAACCCCTTTTGTTGTATGGGAAAATGGACTGCACTGTGAACAAGGAAAGCATACATTCCAGATAAACTACTTATATTGGACAGCATTAATTTTGACACCTTGAAAACGCTTTTTATGCAGTGGTTTTGCACTGCACTAAGAGGATACACAGGCTTGGAATAGCGCTCAGATTTTTAGTAGAGCAAACCCAAATCCGTTCCACATAATCGCACTGCCTCTCAGAAAGGCTGACACATCTCGAATGCTGCCTCTGTCTTGCTGTCACTTATCATATTTTACCCTGGAGCACAATCATTAAACATCTATGCCACAAGGCTAAAAGTTCAATGTCAACCTGACAATGTATGATGAGAGTATTGTTACAGCTGTATATAATTAGTTTTTACCTTCTATAGTGGAAAAAAATTAGAAAATTGCTTACAATGAAACAACATGAAAGAAGTATGTTTGCACTGCAAAATCAAGTTCTCAAAAGTTAGGACATGATAGAACTAAGATTTCCTACGACACCTTTGTTACATTCATGAGGATATAGTTTTCAGCCACTGATTTTTCTATGACTCTTACTTCATATAGTGCAACGAACAAAACATGCTCTATGAGTAAAGGTACATGTTCACTATTTCTTTTCATTGTTCATCATCGAAAGGCATTCAGTTACATTAGCTGTAAGACTATTCTGCTCTGTCAGCAGACTTCCACTCAGCTTTCTACAGGTTTCACTTCTAGCTAGAAAGAATAAAGTCAGCCCTATAGAAATAGGTTATTATTTCTCATGCAATTTCAATGCATTTCTTGAGTCATGTCAATCCTGTATAGCAAATGAGAGACATCCATTTGAATGATCCATTCTTCAAGAGTAGTCTGTACTTACAGAAACACAAGACAAAATGGAAACACAAAATAATAAGCAAATTTTTCTGTGGCACTGAAGCTTTAAAACATGTTCTTAGTTGTGTGTTTATCCTGTTGACTCTGGAGATACAACTACAAGTATGTTATAGCCAACAACGTACATATTCCTACTTACAGCAAAAGCTCTGAAGGACTGCAAAAAAAATAAAACACTGTTTTCTCTCACTTAGTTGAAAACTAAAGCAGAGCTATTTTCCCAGATAGCAAAAAACAAGGTCATTAAAAAGCCAAATCCTGCTAGCCTTTCTCATGCAAATTATCTAATTTGTACTGGGTATTATTTGCATGAGAAAGGGGGCAAATCTACTTGTCTAAAGAAAATATTTTATTACCATACTTCTAAAGGAGTAAACAAACGAAAAGATGAAAATAATATTCAAACAATACGCAGAATGTTAACATGTGCCGGAATGGCTGAATGTTGTTTTTCAGAAGTGCTGTATCAGATAGCACAACAAATAAATAAAACTAGAGCAGTTCAGCTTTATTGAAATAAACCAAATAAGTACTTTTATGCTTGTAATACACTGAAATTTATGTAGAAATACTATTCCCTGTGTATTGTTTTACACAACTAAGCCTTTCTACAAAAGTTACTTACATATAAAGTCTTATCAGTTATTTTTTAATGTCATTACCTTTCTTTTATGATGGGTTGTTGAAGCATCCATCTCTTCTTCTCCTATATTGTCTATCTGTGAAGTTGGACTACAGTTCATCCTCTCTTCTTCTTGCCTCTGAAGTCTGTCTGCTACAGCCTGGATTGCTTCTGTCCATTCTTCCCTACCATGAACAAGCCAACATCCCTATTAGAAACTCATAAAATGCATCCAAATAAATGGTTTATAATGTTTTTCATACGTTACCTTGCTTCAATGTTCAATTCCCATGTTACAGAGCAGAAGACTCATATAAACTAACCACTTCAATTTCCTTCCAAATTCTGTATTATGTTAAAGGTGGTGAAGTTGACCAGCATCAAAAAGGATCACTGCAGTGTTAATTTCAAGAATTACCAGTGTCTGATTTTGTAAATATTTTAATAGTGAAAACTTGAAAACACTCGCTCCAGGCATAATACAGCTCAGAGCATAGAATGTCATCTCCTATCTGATATTATCTGATAATAACTTGCTATTTTAAGAGACTTCTTTGCTATTCCTGCTCCTTGCAAGACATGTTCACAGAAAATAAATAAGATTCCTTAAACCATGCCATGTGTTCAACTCTTCGTCTGTCTCCTCTTAGAACTCAACTTTTTTGGCCAATTTCAAATTCCCCTGAGAAAGAGGCCCTCAAAGAGAATTACATTTCTACAAGCGTCATAAAAATCAGTGGCTGCACAGAGGGGCAGGCCCAGATGAGGGTTCCTGTGGAGGGACAAGCAGGGGCAGCTGAGCCCATGGCTGCTCTGCGTGCTGGCTAACCCGCACAGATACACCAGCCAGCCCCGCAGCACGCCGTAGCCCCACACCAAGCCTGCTGCTTTTTGCTCAGCCAGAAAGGGATACGGGAGGAGTCTGGTGGTACTAGTGAATGCAGTAAGAGGTACTACGCTGTGTACACAGAAGAAAGATAGGGTGGAGAAACAGTACCAAGTAACAAAATAAAATTCTAAGTGGCTATAGGCTATATTAATGAATGAGAAACAACAGAAAAAGCAAAGCTGTTGGTTATTTATTGATACAAACAATATGAATAAAGCCAAATCATAGTACTAGTCTTAACAGGACAGATGCCCACAGTGGGAAGACTCAGTGCATCTAACCAAAGACACACTATAGAACATTTTAGCAAGGTACACCATCCCATATCTCCTACATGCTTTTGGTGTATTAAAAAAGTTAATTGTCATGAGTTTGTATATATTTACTGAAACAAGAAAAACTAATAAGCAGATATAAAATAAATTATAACAAACACTGCTTTCTGTACCAAAAAAAAAAAAAAAGAGAGCATATTAGGAGGAGTAAAAGGAAAACTTAAGACAGCAAGGCTGGAAAATATTTCAATGCAAGCTTCTATTGTTCAAAATTTAACGCTTCAGAGACATATCATGACACAGTTTTGGCTTATTTGAACACACTCATCCCACCTACTCGCAGGCAACTCTTACACTAGCTATGAGCTCAGATATTATTTTACAGAAGCTGACATAAATTCTTCAAATAACAGTTCAGACATGCTCAGAATGTCACAGTTCCAAGTGCTGATCACTGTGCGGTCCCAGCAGAGACTGTGCCGAGGCTTCTGCGTCAAGAACACAGAAAGCAAAAGAAAAATAAAACCCTCACCGTTCCTCCGGAGTGTCTACGTGGAATGTCCTCTCTATGACAGTGGTCCACTGAAGACATCTGATAATGAATGTGTTTGGCTTTGGTCGCTCTGTTTTCATTAGTTGACATTCTAGAGAAATACATAACATTGCCTCTTTTATACATCGCCAGTTAACAGGTGAAGAGCAAATAAAATTACTTCGGTAAAATGCATATAGCTTATGTATCCCTATCCAGCATGTATCCAGCACGTATAAGGAAATACAGAATGGCGATATAACCATGGGTTTGAACAAAAGGTAGCAGGTAATAATCGTAAGGTGAAGAAGGCAGTCAGAGAAACTGATGGAACTTGTACTGTTGCCCGTATAAAGAGTGCAATCTCCATTTGCAAACGAGGTCTGTGTTATGAGGGTAAGAAGAGTATTAGGTCCCAGATTGCTCTGGTATGCCAAGGTAACAGCAGTAGCCACAGGCACATTTTTCCATCTGTACCTGGCAGGAGGAATATGACATTTTCCCTTCAATGGTAACCATGCCACAATTACCCACGCTACTGTCACTTCAGGATTAGATTTATTGTAATATACCCGATCTGAGAAAATTCACTGTTGAATCTAGTCTCATTATTAAATACAGAATAACCCCACACACACGTCCAGTGGGGCTGCTCCAGGAAATCACCTAGTTCTCTTTGTGCTTCAGGGCAGAATCAGGTCTACCTATTCCATTTCTCCGAAGTATTTCTCTAAACTCTTTCTACAATCCCTGAAAAGTAGTCATTTTAAAACCTCTGTGAAAATATTCCTTCCAACTGTAAGGAAATCAATTGTTTTTATAGTTGATAGATTTTTCCTAGCATTTAATGCAACTGTTCCTATAATTTAAACATATTGTTTCTTGCCCTATTGAGTAATTTATTTTATCTTTTCAGCAGCTATCCCTTTTAGACGTTCGAACACTATTTTATCTCTCTTCAGTCTTCTCTGGCCTAAATCAGTTTAAACAATCTGTCCTCACAGGTTGTGCTTTCAGATCCAAGATCTTTCTTGTCACACGACCATACAGTAGACTGCATATTACTCCTTTGTCACAAGACCACAACACAGGTAATTCAGGCAACAGTTCAATGAGACTGTGCATTAGATTTCCCCATGTAGCACACTGCTCTAAACATTACATATACAAAACACTGACCTACTAGAACTCTTTATTCATGCAAACATATTTAAATATTGTTGTGAAGTTAAGGTAACTCTGTCAAAAGTGTAATTTGTTTTCCTGCAGCTACCACAGAATATCACAAACATCACATCTCATGTTCTGGGATACTATCACTTGTTCAAAGCTGATCCAGATCAAATGTGTGATCTAAAATGATTTATCAGATTCACAAATCAGTCAATAATGAATACGGCAACAGAATTCCTGTTCACTTACAATCCACTGTAACTTCCTTTTGGTAGAGCTACCACCTACCAGTCAACCCACACCTTTTACTGATGTAGTTGACTATTCTTTAGCACAAAACCTTGCACTTACTCTTGGTGAATTACATTTTATTTATTCCAGTTAACGTCAACACTTTACAAAAGTCATGTTATGTGACATGTACCACTTCAAAAGGCATGCTATTCTTTCACAGAAATAAATTAAATTGGCTTTATGTACTTTTCCTTCACAAATTCAGGGCCCTGACACCTCAACTATCATCCACAATTGTCCTTTAAATATTCTCCAAGGAACTTCATCAGACTGAGCAGATATCTAAACACCCAACACACTTAAGTACCCTCTACCCTGCTTTTGCTTTCTCTCTTATGCCTTTGTTGCCAGTGTTAATTGTACAAGATGCATACTCATAGCTGACCTTCTGAAATGCATATTACTAGCTCATAACGAGCTTAAAGCCTTAGTTCAAGGCATTGATTTGTATGCTTGAACATCTAAACAATTTGGGACACAACTATCTAAGAAATTGCCTCTGTCTCCATGATACAAAGCCACAGCAAATTATCAGCAGATTTACTTGTACTGGACCATTCTTAACACAGGCATGAAAGAACTGATATTGGGGGGGGTGGTGGTGGTGGTGGTGGTGGTGTCTTTGTGAGGACACCTTGATTTAAGAACTTTCATGCAAACTGTAATTTTTTTTATTTGAAAGAGCAAAGAAGGGTGTGAGTATGTCTGTCAACAGGATTTTTTTTTCTACAGCTTAGCAGAACACCTCAGAGGCTTGAAAGACTCACGTATAAAAACCAAAAGAGGAATAAATTAAATATTGCAATTGTGTATTCTTTGATGCACAGACCTATGTATTCACCATACATCCATAAATTATTAAGTCAGACTGCTCACTGGTCAAGAAGATGACATTACATTTAACAAACCTGCATATACTGTGGAGACTCAAAAGAGAAACAGTAATCCAACCTCACTGCTTTTATAAATTCAGCTAGGTCTTGGATGGGATAAGAACCATCCTCAACATTTAGGGGAAAGAGATAGAGCAGGATGGACACAGGAAGAGGGAATTTAACACAACAGCTGGAAGAGGAACAAGGAGGACAGAAGCAGATGACAGGAACTTGGGGAGCATGACGAAGTAGAGCTGCTTAGGATACTTAACCAGGCTTGTAACTGGGTGCAAGTATTACTCATGAGATCAAAGAAACCCCCATCTTCAGGGATATGGTTGAAGTTCAAGTTACGATCATGATGAGGGTGAGGCTAGAGTTAACAGGCTTTTTGTTTTCTTAACTTCCTCAGTTGTAGCTCTAAGAAATGTGTCAGGCTACCTTCATAACAGAAGAGACTAGAAGCATCGTCTGCTTTAAGATTATCTCATCCTACTCCTGACGAAACCATCCTCTCATCTTTAATCCTATCACACTTCAATCATGTAGGCTGAAATTTTCTTTGCTGGGTGTCTGCCTAAAGCTGCACACTGCTGGAAAATACTACTTTTTGGAGACGAGACTTAAAACTTGGCAAACCAAGACCTTTGATATCCTTTTAGTATTCCTGTGAAAATGTAAGGCATCTGGCTACACTACATGTGGGAGGGATAAGAGTGCAGTGGGAGGAGGGTAAAAAATTACAATAACAATTACTAAAGCACAAAATCATTGAAAATCTATGCATTGAGTGTAATCCAGAGGCTACAGCTGTCTCCTGCCTCTACACCTGCTAAATGGAAAGATCTTTCTCCTATATTCATAATTCCTCATCCTATTCCTCCAACAATATGAAAAAGAAACTACCTCGCTGAAGCAAAATCCAATACGGAAAGATGGCATCCAGCAAGTTATTTACAGAAGAGATGTCAGGAACAAAAGACTAGGGAATAAAGGGAGAAGAGTGGAAATGGGACAGGAAACAAACTGGGCCCTGTGTGAGAAAGAAAAACTTGGGGGACAGCTGGAGTAGCTAGTTTAGGAGAAGGAAAGTAAAAGAAGCTGCCAGGGGCAGAAAAGTAAGGTGACTGTGTAAAGACAATCTGAAGGCAAAGAGGTACAGAGTCAAACCTGCAGAAAAGTCTATATGAATCAAAAAGCACATCCTCCCCAATGCCTGTAATGGAGCTGAAAATTTTGAACGTCACCATTCATTCTCTTATTGCAAATACATCCAAAAATGCACATATTAAAATGGCATTAATTTAAGTTTGCCAACTCAAACATGCAAAAATCAAAACAGAATTAAGCCTGCTTATGTCCAAATGCTATCTATAATATGGACTTTACGTATATATATATAGTACGATAAATATAGTATATATATTAGTACATACATTATGTAAATCTGTATCTGATATATAGATGTATTATTGGTACTATCTACATTAATTTTTTCAGACAGTCCACAAAGTGATGATGCACATTATTTACAAGAACAAAACATATGGATGCATATACTAAGCTCTGTAACTACCAAAGAGTATTTACTCTCTGAGTTTTCATTACAGATGATTAACTAAGTCAATTAAAGGTAATAAAAAATACCTTAGCAATTGAAAATGGCACTGAAAACATTAAAAAAAAGCGCCATTTCATTATCACTGAAGGATGGTATTGAAAAATAAAATCTAGCAAAACTTAATTTTTAATATTCTGTTAAAAGTGGCTAAAGATTAATTTCTTTGTGGAAGGTTAAAATTGAATATGTTCGTATCCTTCCCTTCTGAACCAAAAAAAAAAAAAAAAAAAATCAAAAAGAAATGGAGGACTAGTGTGTTTCTAAAAGTGGTGTGCTACCCAGCCTTCTCAAGAAGATAAAAGTAACCAAAATCTGCTGATATTTAGTACACCCACATACTTCATGTGCTGCTATATACAAATGTATGGGATAAATAACATTCCTGTCATGACTGCAACATGAATAAAAATTTGTTTGTGAATGTCTTTCACCTACAGCTAGGAAAAAAAAAATCTATTAAAATGAATAAGTACTCTAATACACAGTTACTGCTAATTACCAAAATATTTTTCTACTAATCACTTGAAAAATCATAGTAGTTCTAGACAGACAGAATAGTTTGGAAACTACAAAAGCACAGAAGAAGGAGTGAAACTGGCTACCAAGAGCTGGCTCCAAGCATTCGAGTGATAGTTGGGTCATTACCAAGAGTAGAGAACACTCTACCATAATGTCTTCAAGTTTGCTACTATACATAAACATATGTAATTAAAGGGCTGAATCTCAACTCAAAACAGTTGGAAGTCTAAATTATCATTCAAAAAGATGAGTAAGCCAGTAAACAGACAGACTCAACTTTGTGTTCTTGTATGCTAGCCATCTACTACTTGAAATTACACATTTTAATCCTAAACCTTTCTGCCTTGCTGGGATTAAACATCACTCATGAGAATTTTCCCCTTTAATATTAGAGGGGATGAAAACCCTTGGGGGAGAACACTTGTTCGAAGCAGCAAAATACAAAATCAGTAACAGAAACCGACAACTCCATTCCAACAAGTCTGTAGCACTCATTTGGCCATTTTTTGTTCTACACAGAAAATGGCAAAAATGAAATAAAACCACTATAAAGAAATGCAATGCATGTTTCTCAAGCCTTGAACTTCTCTTTTTAAACAAACAAAAAAAAGCCAGGTACATACCAGAGGT